TTTTTTTTTTTTTTTTTTTTTTTTTTTTTTTTTTTTTTTTTTTTTTTTTATGTTAGTTCTTTTTATTGTAGTCCCAGAGTTAAACCTAGCAATTTATGTGGGAAAACAACTACTCAAGCACATTGCAATCCGGAACTATGGAAACTATCAATGATACCTAATCGAAGCGCGAAGACCATTTCCGCCCAAGAGAGTAAACTTTGTTCTCTTAAAACTGGCTTAATATTTCCCGGTCTTTCCAGCTTGAAGACTTATAGGTATGCTGTTCATATATATATATATATATATTTTTTTTCTTTCTTTCAAACATCTCTTCGAAATATACTGGTTAATATTGTATGATCACATCATTCTTCTTTGTCTAGGGCATTTGGAGGAAAGCAAGTTCCAACTAGTACTGGAACTGTGAAAGAAAGGAAATTAGGAGAGTCAGAACAAACGGAAGCAGGACAAAGAAGTAAAAAGTTAGATATTGGCTATTGTACTGAAAACGCAGAGAAACAAGAACTTTTAATCTCCAACATGAAGCGCAAAGCCCTAGAGGTTTATATCTTTAGCTCATTACCCCACGTTACTGAGGTGTCTAGAATAATTATGCTTTTTAATGCCAACACCTCAAGAAAGTTCTTTCTCCGTAAGTTTCAAGTAGATATCGTGGATATTTACTTAAAAATTATTTACAGGAACCAAATGCAGATCCAAAGGGGTTAAAACCTCTAAAGCATCTCTGTGTATCACCTAGTGGATTTAGGTAGCAGCATACCATTAATCTCATTCATCTTTTTTATTTACTATGATGATTCTCTTTATTAGTGAGTTGCTTTCCAAATCACTTGCAGAAACACTAAAGAGCCGTTGAAGGAAAAGATAGAAGAACAGGTTTCACAGTGAATTGGAGTTTCTAATTAATATAAATGAGAAAGTTGAATGGGGCATTAAATACTTTAAGAAAACAAAAACGAGACATTGTTAGTCATTATTCCATTCCGTTTTTCTTTCATGTTGCAATCAGGTTGAAAGTATGACTACCGCTTCCCATGACCAATTAGCTTCCAATATTGAAAATCCTCGCGTGCCAAAGACGATGGAATTGGAAATATCTTTGGTTTTGGAAAATGATCGAAATGTTGAAAAAGCAGAAGCCTATTCACAGCAGCTGGAAGATGTAAGTAACTCTGTAGATTATTTTGTCTTTTATCAGATTGAACAGTAACTTTCTGATTCTTTTCATTTGGAAAAAGGAGCTAGAGACATACAATAACCACTAATCAAGTGACAAAATATAAACTTCAAAACATCCTTTAAAGGGGATATGATCAGAAATTTAAATGCTTTCAGTAATGTTGCAAATACAATCATTACACTTTTAAGAGTAACCTGATATAGATACCTCACGAATCTGTTAGTTTTATTTTCTTACCAGATCTGTAATATGCTGAGAAAGAAGCAAGAAGAGGCCAAAGAAATATTAGTCCGAGCTATTGTTAACAACAATAATCTGCTCATGCTCAATCATCCCATCTATGAGGAGAAAATATCCTTCCATTGCATTTTCATTTTATTTTCTTTGGGTTTTTCTTTTCTCGTTCCCTCATTTGAAGCCCCATTCCTTCACAAGTTCGGACATTATGAAGCTTCAGAAATTTGCTGCCAAAATGTTGTCCAAGGAGCTTCACACAAAAGCAGCTTGAGTCTTATTCAATTTACAGGTACGCATATATCTAACCACTTCGAGACCCTATGGACATTTTGTTGGGTTCTTTAGGTACAGAGTTCGTACATTTTTTGCATTGTCAGAAGTAAATGGAAAAACTAGAGAAGTATATCAGGAATGGTGCGTTCTCATTTTCCTAAGTGATAGACCGATGAAATATGGTTTTCTAGCACAATGAATAGTGTCTACACATAAAAATATGGAGAGAAAACTTTGGTTACTACGCAGCTGGCAGCATTTTATCTTTTGCTTGTCTGCTCCTCGAACCACAGATTGCACTGCAAATCAGGAGCGAAAACTTGGGATATAGGTAGATCTTATTTTTCTGATAATAGACTGAAGAAAATTGATTCAACAGACATTTGGACGATACAGATTAACTTGATAAAGAGTGGATTTGGTAGGCGTTTAAAGCGGGTATTTTTATCATAATCATTTTTAAATTACATTCAGATTAGCTCAAAGCAGCAGAGACGTGTTTGGAACCAGCTCAGTAGTTCACCTTCACTCTCTAGGGACGAAACTAGAAACCAAAATGGCTCTTCCAGTTCAGTTATGAAAAGAGGAAAATGACTTGCTGAAATAGGAATGCACCTAAAATAAACTCCATTTCGTCATTTGAGTCAATTTGTTGCGGTGGCGAATTTGTCAGTTGCCGAATTGCCATTTCTAGCATTAACTTCTTTTATTTTTGGAAAAAGATAATTTATATTATGGAAGATTGGTATTAGGACTCATCAGATTGGAGCAATGGCTTTGTGGCCGCTTCTTCTTAAACCTCATCCAATGTCTACATTCCTTTTCCTCTTCAAACCTTCCAATTCTTTTGACTGCCCTCCCAAAATCTGACATGTATACGATACCAAAACGTGGCCATAAGGAATAATAAGACAAATTTGTTTTTTGGTGTAAATGCAAGTCACCATCAAAAAAGTCTTAACCTAATGACAAATATAGAAAGGCCGAACTCGCACTAAGATGTATTTAATTTCTATTAGTTCTCTGCGTTGATAAGTTGGATTAAATTGAGATTCTCTCCTAGATCAGTAGGAGTAGAAGAAAAAAGTAGTTCGGCAGACCATTTGTCAACTGAAAAGGAAATATGGATCATATGAATAACAAATCGGAGGGATGAAGACCATCTTTACAAATTTGGCTAGCCAGGTAGACAAATCCAATTATCACTCTATACTTTATCATCTACGTATCCCAACCCAATAACAACCTATGTAAGAGCATGACATTGGATTTCTCTTTGGGATGCATTTATTTATTCAAATGAAATCTCTCTGTGGTATATTGGATCTGATTTTATATAAATTAAAATCCAGAGTAGCTTCATAAGAGAAAATCTAAACTTCCGCATTGTTTATCCTTGGGGCATCGTCAATAGATAACTAATAAACACGCACAACCAATTAAGAGAAAAGAGATGAGTAAGACCAAGCCGCCATGGTGATCTTAAAAAGAAGGAATAGATAAAACAAGTATATTCTTGTTTTTTATGATTCCTCTTCTGTGGGCCTCAAATCCTCTGGCAGTGCCTCGAGGATTAGCTGAAAATTTTATGGCAGTTTATGGTCCTGGTGCTTTATATACGGCATTGAATTGTTACTTGGAGCCTTATTTTATCATCACAAACTTCCAGTTGCCAATTAGGTTCAGCCTCTAGAGTATTATCAATGCCTTGGAACCCTTTATTGCAGAATATTAGGTCATGGTAGGCTGTATGGCAAATTCAGTTAAAGGAGGGTAAAATTACAAATATTTTTAGTGAAAACAAGATAGTGTTCCTTACATTAAGCGGAGAATGGATACTAGCTGATTTCAGAAGTTTTCATTTACCACAGGTTCTTTCCAATCATATGATTCCCCTTGTCTCTTCTCTTTCATGGTTAGTTCTAGTCCAGGCTTGCACTTCTTGTCTTAAAGAACTAAACGAATGATTTAGCCTTTTTTCTTTTTTAACCTTAAATATGGATAATATTTGAGCAGTGGAAATAGCTGCCAAAGTGCATGCACCAACTTTCTCGAAGTATTTGTAAATGAAAATCTGAATTGCAGTATCACAAATCCACTACCTCTTGAAAAATACCATGTGCTCATTAGAGAATAACAAAAACAATCATCCCTAACAAGGATCGAGGAGAAAAGTTCTAGCACGTCTAGTTACTGGTTAGTGGTTGTTTTCTATTCATTTTTAATTACAGTATTAGTTGTTTTAATACATGTTACATTATATTTCTGGTTTTTTTTTAACTTTGTAACTTGTGTTTATTTAATTTTGTTATTTAAAAGTTAAAGACCCAAAAATAAAAAATTGGGTGGAAACTTTTAGGGTATAAAGATTACCAATTTGAGCATGATTAATTAGTTAATTATGGCATTATAATTTTGAGCAAAAGGTTAAAGCTTTTTATCCCCAACTAAAGGAAATTAAAAAAAAATAAATAATAAATAAATAAATAAAAGACCACCACAAGTGATTGTTATATGAAATTACTTCCAGTGTACGAAGATTTTTTTTTAATTTTAGGAATGAGTAAAGAAGCTTGGTGAACTGGATGGAGACGGGGCTGACCGACAGTTGCTCCTCTAGTTTGTTTTCTATTGAGAAAATTTATAAACTTTGAAGTTTTTATTTTTCCATTTAATTTTTAGGATTGAGTTGTCATGCGTATCCAAAGGCCTCTTCTTTAGAAAATAATGTCAATAAAGTTTTTGAGACTATATAATTAATTAGGATGTGTTCTTGTGTACACCTTTTTTTTTTTTTTTTTGTTAGGCTTCACTTCCAGTTATTCGTTGGTTGCCCAACTAATCCCAAGTAGAATTACATTTCCTTTGTTTGCTGAGTCAAGTACTGATCAACACACATCACAGGATTTAAGACTTTCAAAATTTTTGGTTAACTGGCGCCGACGGCTAACCATGTTAACGTACTGTAACAGGGCAAGCTCTGGATTCTTTAAGTTGAGCCAATAAATCCAGTAAGGACAAATCAGATTAAAAAAAGATGGTTTTGGCGAGTATAAAAACTTGCCATCCCCAAGATTACTTAACACATACCCAAGATTACTTAACACATCGCTACAAACTGATATTTAGCAATGGCCAACTTTAGCTTGTGGGTCTGCCTGATCTTGATGGTCTCGAACTGTTTTGCAGGGGCTGATTCTCGACGACTTGTTGGCTTTAACTCGGAACCAAACGTTCCGGCTAAGACATATCGGCCAGCGCTGTTGGGTTCCAAAGAGAACTTTCACATTGGGCTGGTCGCCGTCGAAGGCTCAGGAAGCATTCATCAACGTGGGGTGGCGCGCCTGTCACCGGGAGGCCCTGATCCCCGCCACCATTAATCTTCAGAATCCTTCTACCTGTGGTTTAATCAGTTTGTCGATCAGCTTCAAATTCTGTTGTGACCGTTTGATGTAGAAGATCAAAACTAAAATTTTGTGATTTTACAGAATTCTGAGAAGGGTAGCAACCAGGGTGAATAATTTTGTGTGTTTCCGACTAAGTAATGGCAATCCTTTTTTTGTTTTTCTCTTTATATAATTTCGTACCCTTTAGTTCTATTTTCGAACTCTTAAATATTTATTCATTCACTTGAGATGTTTATAGCAATCTACACAACATCATTAAATGATGCTCGTTTTGAGATAAGAATATGGTTGACAATCCTTTACTTTGAAAGCTTTTAGGATTTAAGCTTCTCTTTTATTTATGAAACTTCTCATGAGTATCGTGGGTTTTAGGATCAATGGGCCTTAAGCCCAGACTAAATTTTCATTCAGTTAGCTTTTGGACTTGTATGATCTTGGCCTCGATTGTTATATAAGGTTCAATTTGACCAAACTATATCTTTTTATATTAAAAAGGTTATAGGCATTGCCTATAGCGTCTTAATGCGATTAGGATTCCTATAAAAAAAAATCCATTGAATTTTGGGGAAAAAGTTTTTGACACAATTTTTACTTAGTATTAAGGATATATGAGACATTCTTGGTCTAGGAAGAGATTTGAAGTTCGAGATCACATCAAATAACGACATGAACGAGGATTAATACATGATCTCATTGCATGCTTACAATCCCATAAATGTACATAATGCAGTTGTGAAAAAATAAAATAAAATCCAAGTCCTAATAGAAATCATTATTATTCTAAACAATATAAATCATTTATAGGATGAGAATAAGTTGCAGTCACATTCTTAAGTCTAACCGATTAACATGACCAGGCGGCTATGGCTGAGAGCTGCACCATTGAAGATTATCGTAATTCTTCAAAGGCTTTGAGAGGATCATTATAGTCCATTTCTGAGAGAAGTGGAAGATCAGCAGGCAGCATTTCTGGACTCAATCCTTCTTCTTTCAGCTTCTGGACAACCTCCTCGAACACGATCGTGTTGCCATTTCGACTCAGGTGCAACCCATCACTGCAACCAAATGGACAGATCAGGCTCGAGCAAGAAGTAGTATACATAAATGCACATTCAGGACAAACATGATCTCATAAAGCAGCTTCTAAATGTCTAGAGAAAAGACACCCAAACAGCACCTTAAGCAGGAGCATGGACAATAGATGTGCTATAGGCTTTTAGATACTTTTAGATATAAGCACAGAGAAGCCCTGCTGTCTCTCTTAACATAGCCTCCCATTTGGTAAACATATTCAAGGAAAGTGAAGGACAAAGCAAATCAAATGGTTATCACGCGGAACCTAAATAATTTAAAGTAGCTCATTGAAAAGTAGAGCGGAGATACTGGAGTAGTAGTGTAAGATCCCACGTCGGTTGGAGAGGGGAACGAAGCATTCTTTAGAAAGGGTGTGGAAATCTCTCTCTAGCAAATACGTTTTAAAACTTTGATAGAAAGCCCGAAAGAAAAAGCCCAAAGAGAACAATATTTGTTAGCGGTGGGCTTGAGCTGTTACAAATGGAATCAAAGCCAGACACCGAGCGGTGTGTCAGTAAGGACACTGGACTCCGAAGGGGGTGAATTGTAAGATCCCACATCGATTAGAGAGAGTAACAAGTGCCAGCGAGAATGTTGTGCCCTGAAGGGGTGTGGATTGTGAGATCCCACGTCAGTTGGAGGGAAACAAAACATTCTTTATAAAGGTGTAGAAACCTCTCCCAAGTAGCGTTTTAAAACTTTGAGGGGAAGTCCAAAAGGGAAAGCCCAAAAATGACAATGTCCGTTAGCGGTGAGCTTGGACTGTTACAAGTAATCCTCTCTAACTACGTGTTTGTTACACCGAATGGCCCCATTTTTCTTTTGTTTTAGCTATCTAAATAATAGCCACAGAAGCTTTCCAATCTAGTGCTTGGTATGTAACAGCATATAGAGAAAAATGTTGGGAAAGATAATTGTCGACTGTGATGTCCCACGTTGGTTAGGGTGAAGAACAAAACACCATTTATAAGGGTGTAGAAACCTTCCCCTAGCAGACGTGTTTTAAAGCCTTGAGGGGAAGCCCGAAAGGGAAAACTCAAAGAGGACAATATCTACTAGCGGTGAATCTGGGCCGTTACAGAGCCCAACTGTCGAACTGTCTACCAAAGGGAAGGGAAAAAGGGCAGCAATCTATAACATCTAATTCTAATCAGAGTTCAAGAAAGCTTACAAATAATATAGTAATGATGGCATCAGATTATCCAAACCAATTACTAATCTAAAAGATATCTGCGCAAACATAGGAGTGAACACATAAATACCTCAAACAAGCCTTTTCCCAGCCAGGAAGTTGCTGCATCTTAGTCCAAATATCAATCACAGAAACCCCACATTCTGCAGCAACAGCAATGCAAGCCTTGGCATAATCACCAGCTGCATTGTTAGTCCTCTCAGGCTCATTTAATGGATTTTCAAGGTAAGGGTTTCTGCACACACCGTTTTCATTTCCCATTATCAGAACTATTATTTAAAAACTTGAGACTTCAGATCTCTCAATAACCAAAGATAATAGGAGAGATAAGCATACTGTAAACGCCCTTCTTCATCAATAG